GCAACGAGTCACCCCCTTGCGGCCTGGCAGCAGCGACGGCTGCGGTGGCCGCGGCAACAACGTCAGTAAGAGCGGCGTACCGCTCATCAAAGGTTTCAATCAGTGTGGTCTTGATAGACCCGAACATCTCCAGTATCTCAGCTTGGATGGCTGCAGCCACCTCTTCATGAATCATCTGGCGGAGCTCCTCATCGATCACACCCCCTCGCTAGTCCCCGGTCTGTGACGTGTCCCAACCATGATGTCTCTGAAATACAACATAAAAATATCACGGACTCGCTCGAGCATACTCGCACTCGATAACTCAACCCTACTTGTTTCCTAGTATCCTAAGGATTCCTACTTGGACTGCACACTGATCCGGTATTTCCAGTAGTACGGGCCCTATACTACCTTCCATACCAACTCAGTATTCATTCCAAGCCACCCTCCAAGGATCCCAAGTCACAAGTACTCTATCTCTTTCCACACATAAGCTACCCTTCAGTAGACCCTCATAGCACCTCACTGCTACCTATTCACTCACAAGCATCTCATAGCAGCAGAAATCTCCCTAGGCTAAGGCATCACAAATTAGGCCACTCTAGTCCTAATATGAATACCTAGCCTACTCTAGCATGCATAACACATTACAACATATTTCTTAACACATAATGTAAGGGTAATTTGGGAAATCACCGTTCGGGCGCTAGTTGATCGTATACACTGTTTTCTTCTGTTTCCTCAATTCCTTTTTATTCTTTTAGGAAAAAAAATTATTTATGAAAACTTCCTCAAATCCTCAATTTGAGTTTAAATACACCCAAAGATGAATCTGAATCCCTCAAACCAAGGCTCTGATACTAACTTGTAACACCGTGAAATTTCAAAACAATTTTTCATTTTAAATTAATAAAAATACTCCAATCACAATTCTTAAAAACGTGTATCAATTGTTTTTACATAACATAAGTGCAAATCAAAATCCCCAGAATCTCAAAACATCTCCACCATAAGTGTGTACTGATCATGCTGGCGCCTTCCCGCAATCATCACTGGTACCTGAAACACATAACACACAAACGGTAAGCAATAATGCTTAGTGAGTTCCCCAAAAATTCCACGTACAACACATACGCCTTTCCAGGCCATAACTCTATGGGATCTTCCGATCCAAGTGTCATAACTCTGTTGACCTTCCGGTCCATATCATCATACTCATATCATAACATATTACATATACAACATACATCACATTTTCATCATACACATAAGATCTTCTGGTCACACATAATTACCCCATCGGGTAAGGCATAGTGAGAAGACTCACCGCGAAGATGTCGGATGATCGCTCGCGCTCAATCTTCCGACCTAGCTTCCTCCTACAGTATATATACATCTTTAATTAATACCTCTCCGACTTAGTTTGACTAATGCCCTAAAGTTAACATAAGTCAACTATGGTCAACGCTGGTCAATGGCCACCCTTTGACCCAACTCGTCGAGTCAGGCACTGACTCGGCGAGTTCAGATGTGAACTCAAGTCCCCTAAATCCCAACTGACTCACCGAGTCGTTCCCCCAACTCAGCGAATCACCAACTGTGTGAGTCACGGGACAACCCGATCCGACTCGTCGACTCTGCTCATGGACTCGGCGAGTTCATTCCATGCTTAAACTCAAATGGCCTTCTGAGGTCAGATCTGTTCCTCTAATCCATAGATCTGACCTTCCTAAGCTCAATAAACACGTAAAGGTTCAAACTTGATACTCATGCATCGTCCAAATAAATCTACTTGAAGCATTTGCCCCAAATAAAACATCCTAAGCCCATATCTTAAATAACTCATCATAAAGCAAGATGGATAAAGCTCTCTGGACCACTATGGGTCCGGATCCGAAGTCTAAACATGATAAGGGACCATATATCCAAAATAAAGGGTATAGAAAACCCTAGATCAATGGATTCTTCAACAAAACAGAAAAAGGATCGATATGCTACCTCAAGGATGATGTTCTTTGCTCGAGATCCACAAATATGCAACCTTCTTGGCCTCCTCTAAGCTGGAACCATCTTCTTCTTGCAAAACCAACCCACAAAGATCAAATAATGGCTTCTTTCCTCTCATAAACGCTCAAGCACTCTTAGGGTTTCTCTCAAAGGTATGGTAGCCGCAAATGGTGGCTATAAGGGTCCTTAAATAGGTCCCAACCCCAAGAAATTGGGGTTTCTTTCGCCAGCTCTAACTCGGCGAGTGGATTCCCCTGACTCATCGAGTCTAATCATTTTCCACGTCACCCATTCGCGACCTGACTTGACGAGTCTAAGCACCAACTCGTCGAGTCACCTCAACACAATTCAAATTATAATATTAATTAATGTACCTGGGAAACCGGGCGTTACACAAACATTATGTTTGATACATTTATTGTATACTTCATTAAAGCAACTCAATATCTAAACCAATATTAATAATACAAAGGTCATAATGAAACACCTACTGTACATGCTAATAGACATATTAATTTCTTTAGAACATTAAAAATATTTTTAAAATAAGTCGTAGAATGTGGTCTCAAACATTCATTTGATAAATACAAAATCTAAGAGCTAAATAATTTTAAATACGTGGTTTTAAGTATGATAGTGTCCAATTCAAATTTAAGTTCAAATAAATTATCCAAGTTATGTCATTCTTAAATATCTAAGTTGCTAACTCTTAAATTTCGATTTCATAAGTACATATCAAAATAGTATGTTAGACTAGGGAAACATAGCGAGTAATATCGGAATTCAACTATAAAATAGAATTAGATAATTGTAATAACCCAACTCCTAAAACCATCTTCAACCCACATTCATTTTCCTTTCAAAATTAGAGTAAAAAATGAAGTAAATAATATTTCATTCCAACTCTATTCCATTTTTACTTTATTTTTTATCCCAAAAAATTTAATCCTAGTATATTCATTTTTTTCAATTTACATAGATTGTTAAACAAATTCATTCTACTAATTTAGTTTTAACAAATATATAATCTATATTTTTTTTTTCATTACAATAATATTAAATAAATAAGATTATATTTATAATACACTTATAAATAAATATGATACATGCATTTATAGAAATATTACAAATACACATTTTGAAATAAATATTATACATATATTATATAAATCTTAGACATACACACTTTTAAATAAATAGTATACATGCATATAATATCATGTTCGTAATATACATTTTAATTATAAGTTTTTATAAATACGTTATCGTGTTCATGAGTTTAATATGTATTTAAATATTTATATGAATTCGATAAAATAAAAATAAAATTTATTTTTATGATTAATTAGTATAACTTATTATATAACAAAATATTATAAATAAATATTATATGTAAATTAAAACTATTACATAAAATAAATATAAATATATAAAATGAGAAACTAAAACCGATGAGTGAAACTTCATCCCTATAGTTTGATAAATGAATAATATTACTCGATATATGAGGTAATACTATTCACTTCTTTAAAAATGGAAGAAGAAATAAGATAGGGTTGGAAAAGAATAAATGAGAAAAAAGAAGAAAAAAATAGCATTCGGGGATAGGTTGTAGATGCTCAAAGTCTAGATTCCCAAAAATATTTGAATTTTTTTTTTAAATACCAAACTTTTTTTAAAATTACCAAACCTTTCCTATATCTTACCTGAATTGATCTTGGAAAGGCCTATGACGTGCCGTCACAAACCAATGAAATGTCATACAAATGTGTGTACTATCTTATTGATGAGAGAAATATCATGAGTTATCTATATTTGTCAAATCGTTGGCATATCCAAATGATGATAAAACGATTAAAGTTTAAGACGAACCAAGAAGCATTTAGGATGGATATGGAACGAACATTTGGTATCCTTAAAACTCGTTGACAAATATTCAAACTCCAAACATTGTCATGTGACATCAAAAGATTACAAAACATAATTTACGCATGCTATCATATTACATAATATGATTTTAGAAGATGAATGGGAAACGATATGCCATTACGATGAAAATAACATTTTGTCATCCTTCGAAGTAGTACATATTGGTACGCAACAATACATTGCAAAATTCAAACATAAGCGAAGTACATGACCACAATACACATCACAACATACATGTTAATTTAGTGGAACATATTTAGCTAACGTAGATCTCATCGACGAAAATTTTCTATGGATTTCTATAAGAATAAAGATGAAGATTGAGACATGCATCTTGACGAGGATTCCAACACTCAGACAACAATATGGATGATGATGATTCCGTGTGATTTAGTATTTTAATTATTGTTACGTTTTAGTTTCGTTATTTAATTTTAATTATGTAATTTTTATTTTGAAGTAATGAACTCATAGTGGTGTTACCGCTTATCCATCAATGTCATATAAGCTTCATTGCACTATGTAGTGGGAGTACACGGATCAGCATTACTTATGGACGTAATTCCACTAGTTAATCGCTTATGTTCTCTAGTCATACAAGAGCAACAAAGAGATGTTGGTGTAACGCAAGCTTCTAATTCGCCAGTGGATTGGCTTTTAATTTGGAAAGTAATAGCACTACACATAATAACAAAACTCGTAAATCACATAATCCAATTACAAGAATTTCATTAAGAATCGGTCATCATTCTGTATTCATTGCAAACAGAATGACCACTCTCAAGACAAATGGATTCCCACCAGGTTTTATGTCGAATCACAATTTCATTAATAGTCATGTTGATTCAATTTCTATTTAATTAGCAATCGTTGAATCGGTTTTTCACTTTCATTTCCTTCTTACAAAGAAAATAAGATATGATATGCTTTCACCTTGTTCCACCTAAATGCAATTTTCGTCCCATTAACATAAATCACATCCATTTTTTGCCTCATTTACACAAAAACCAAAATGGAAGCAAAACACAATAATCCGATTAAAAATGTATACAACTTGACATTACATTACTTACAAATTGCTGGGAAAATATGAATTGTATCAGAGTAGTAGATAGAGTGTATACCAGAATATACTATACTGTCTTTTATAGTTTCAAAAAAAAAAAAAAAAAAGATAGATGGCCAAGTGCTCCTGCAAACCACTTGTGGGACTCACATATCTAATTAATTGTCTCCTTGCCTCAGCATGCGTAGAATTGACAGAAAGAGATTTAGTATGTCCAGATAAAGAGTCACTGATGCCCAAATGTACTCATCATATGTAAATCGCTTGATTAAGTTCTCAGTGTCATAGATTATGTATCCAGAAAACAAAACCGCACCAAATCCTCCAAATATCGCGTTTGTTGTGGGCCCCAGTGGAAAGAACACCTGGCATTGCATCATCACAAATCCTTAAATAAATCAGGCAAAATCTACACTAGTTAAATAAATACAGTCAAGTGAAACAATTAAGGCTGCATATTTCTTACACACGACAAGCTTTCTAGGGCTATTATCTATGATGATGAGGATGAGAAGGGCATTTACGTCTTTTCACAAATGAGAGATCGAAAGCAAATAATTGCCATTTTGTCTCAATGACATCCATATTAGTCTAAGTCCTAGTCCAATACAAGCCATCTATGTATGGCATTACGATGATAAGGATGAAAAGGGCATTCATGACTTTTCACACTAAAAATAAGGGCATCATGTGCATGTCTCTGTGTGTGTGTGGTGTGTGTGTGTGAGAGAGAGAGAGAGAGAGAGGACCTGCATGAAACTAGTGACAAGGAGAATAACAAGACTAGTGAACAAAATTGGACCCAAAAAGCTGAAGTCTTTGCCTTTCTTTGATGCCCAGAAAGTGTAGGCCGTTAGAGATGAAACCACTGCAGAGGTCAAAACTAGAGCTTCCAGCACAATCTTTCCTGTAACATTAATTTCAGATAAATGTCAAACTTACCTAAAATTTAAAAAATGAATATTGAAAATTATAGATGAAGGAAGATCTTGTATAAGATAAAGAATACGAACCATCTGTGTTGGCACAGCTCACACCTACAGTGAGACTTAGGGAAACTGTAAAGAGTCCAAGGAACACCAAGTTGAGTGGATGCTTTTGTTGATACACATGCAAAGGCCACAAAACTGCAAAAAGATTGCAGGCATTTAATCACAAACGCTTAAACAATCAATAAAAGTAAATAGGAAACAGAAATCAAGATTACATAATTATATAAAACCCTCAATATCTTTGGTTAAAGTTTATAGCCATTAAGAAAAGAATAACCAAAGTTCTTGGCCAAAACCATGAATGTGATATGTAGACCTAATTTATGAGCATCGATGAATAGAGGCTCTCAAAAGGATCAAAACCTTATGATCCAAATGGGCAAATTATGATCATCAATTCGTTGACACTGGGAACCCCAGATTAGACGACCCAAAATGCACAATATCTTTGGTTAGGGAAGATAAAGAAGAAATGGGAATTCGATTTATACATAGGTCAATTTTGAGCACAGATCTGAAACCACTCATCAAAACAACGAAAAAAACAAATATAGTATCATAATGGATATAGAAATGAGATCCACACACAAAAATCAATAATAAGGAAAAAGTAGTAGACGATTTTTTTAGATCTGGAGCAATAGGGATTTTGAAAATAATATCTAGTGAATTCTTGTAGGATATAGAAGAAACTAAAACGAATTAAGTGAAATCAAATAAGTGAAACATAAATCATGAACGAAGAACATGATAGATAACTTTGAGATCGAGGGATGCGTACGGATGAATGGCAAGAAAACGAGAAATAGCAAGAGGCCGGAATTTCCACGGAGGAGATCGTTGATAGGAGCATAAAGGACAGTGAGGCAAGAGACGGCGGTGGTCAGAACCATCTGGGCGGCAAGGATTCCGTAAACCTTACGGATGAAGCCCCAACGAAGTTGGTTTTCTCCATGGCTGATTCCAGGGTAGAGAGTTCCCTGTTCGATGTCCCCTTCGTGATCGTCTTTGGTGTTTATCCTTGTGAATTCAAACATTTTTGCGATCTTGATTTTCTGTTACTCTCAAAGTCTCCGCCTATACCCTATATCCTTTGAAAGATGGGTGATAGGAGATACGATGACCAAGGCTAGTGGAGTTTGCGTGAATGAGTCGTGATGAAGGGAATGTTGCTTCGGTAATTGTTAGAAGAGTAAATTCCACCACTCGTCCTAATTGTTAAAATACATGTTTAATCTTTATTTTTAAAAATTAACTTGGACCGTTTTTCATATCGTAAAAAGTTTCACCCTTCATTCCTTGTTAGTTTGAATTTGCATGTTTCATCCCTTGTAAGACATGAAATGACTATAATGCCATTTTTAATTTCTTTTTCATTTATTTTTTACATTTATTATTATTATTATTAATAAAAATTATTTTTATCAGGAAATCTCTCTCTCTTTCTCTCTCACACACACACCTATTGAAGAACACTTAATCACTACCACCACACCGGAAATCTACGCCACCATCGAAAATATGCAAACTCACCACCTACAATCTACCACTAGTCGTCATCATTATCCACCTTTAACAACCACTGGCAAAGCACCACCACTAACCAATGAAATCAAATCCAAATGAAATTCAAATCTCAAATAAATCAAAATCCAAACAAAACCTAGAAATCAAACCTTAAACTTAATTTCGAAAGGGGTTGGCTAAAAAGACACCCTATTTTACCATTTAGACAACCCTAATTAATGTTTGAAATACTTTTATTGGTTGAAATTGCATTGTTTTCCTGAAAAAGATGATTACAAGAAGTTGATTACAAGTTGACTTTTTATAAAAATGATTAAAGGGTGTCTAAAGGGGTGTCTTATTAGCAGCACCCATTTCGAAAACCAGTCCAGAAAAAAAAACTTCAAATCTATTGAAACCATCACACTTAACCACCACCATAACCTGTAATCTGCACTACTTCTGGAAATGGAGCACCACCGCTACCCATCGCCATTTACCCTCACCTCACCAGTTGTACCATGTTCATCGTCTTCCCCATCACAGTCGACACAATCAAACTTTACACCACTTGTCATAACCATTCGACAGTCTGCACCCCCCTTCATTCATCATATCTAATTCAAACACTAAGATCCATTTAATGCATCAGTAATAATAGAGCAGATTCCTCCAATATAAATCATCAAGTTTTGAAACCCTATTAAAGAATTAACTTCTGGAAATCCGATTAAAGCATCGAAAACAAAATTAGGGATGTTCTTTTTTCGTCTTCAATGTGCTGGAAACTCGAGTAAAGCATCAAATTCTGAAATAATCGGCTTTTGGGATTTTTCTTGATTTAACTCCAGTAGGGGTCAATTTGGGGTTTTTATGAAACCAAAACCTTCAAATCTAGTGAAATCATCATTTTCGGTATGAAATCGAGAAGTAGATGGGTGGCGATGATGCATTAGGAACCTGCAAATCTTTTTCTGGCATGAGTGTCATAGATAAATTTGGTTTTAGATGGTGAAGGTTTCCAAATCGGATGGTGGCTGGAGGTGGAAGTAGAACCTTCGGTTTCATGATCTCACCGGAGTGGCTTCAGGGTTGCCGGCGAACATATTAGGCGGTGGTAGTGAGAGGTTCAGGGGTCGCCGGAAGGGGAGGTTGTTTGATCGATGGAGATGAAGACGAATGGGTGTGAATGAGAAGGATGCGAATCTGGGAAAGGGAGGGATGTGTGGGTTTGTGTCAATATATATTTTTTTAATTTGAAAATGATAAATAAATAAATAAAATTAAAAAAGAAATTATTAAGGGTAAAATAGTCATTTTATGTCTGTAGGGACGGTCAGAGTAAAACGTTTATTCAGCGACGGTCCGAGTTAATTTTTGAAAATATCGACTGAACGTGCATTTTGGCACTTGCACGAGGGACGATTCGTGTAATTTACTCTTGTTAGAAAAAATTTATATCCAACCAATTTCGTTAAAATTGTTAAACAATCGCTATTTTACTTTTTATTTATTTCATAAGTTCATACTTTATAACATGTAGAACCACGGTTATATAATTAATTAAAATTTTAAAATAAAAATTAAAAATTATTAATCAATTATTTTAAATAAATTATTAGTTAAGAGATTTTTTAGTTATATAAATTTTAATCATTGATTTAAATAAATATATGAAATTATATCACTTTATAATTTGTATTAAGTTTATTTTAATTTTTATTCTAATGTTATTAATTTAATGTAATTAGAGTAAGAAATTTAAAATTTAAAATTTGAAATGGAGAATCAATAGGCTTACAAATGACATGCATTAATTAAAAGATATAGTATGGTGACATATGACAAAAAAAGAATAAAACATGCATTAATTATAAGGCATAATAAAATGACACATGTCAAAAGAAGAATAAAGCTATTTTTTTATTAGATAGGAAGACTTTTTAAAGTGAAAACTGAAATATATATATATATATATATATATATATATATATATATATATATATATATATATATATATATATATATATATATATATATATATATATATAATGGTTTGTTGTTTTCTTCAAGAAAAAAACACAAAATTGTAGAAATGGTTTTTATGTTTGTTAAAAATATATGGTTTTGATAAAAAAAAAGTTTGATGGTGTACCGGTGGTCCAATTTTAAAAAGTCGGTGTGGTTTTGGTCCTTGCGGTTGTTCTTTTTTGTGGTTTTGGTCCAAATCCTATCTCGAAATCACAAATATGTCATTCTAATTCTTTTTTAAATTTCTTTTAATTATAATATTTTAATTTTAATTTTAAAAATACCAAAAAAGAAATCTCATCCACCCATCCCATCCCAAATCACATCCTACCCCACCTCCTACTTCCTGATCATCTATCTCTTTCTATTCCAAGACTGAGAAAACACACAATCAAACTCAAATCATTCACGCCCCTAGTTATTCTTCTCCTTCACTCGATGTAAATGCCAATTAAAAGAAATAAAGACGAGGAACAGTTACAGGTTAAGATAAAAAAAAATAGGTCTCCTCTTCTTCCATTTTTTTTCCTCAAGTTGTAGGTTTCCAAGAGAAAGAGGAGCAAGTATGCGATAATTATTTATCACGCTTCTTCTACTTCTCTTCTTAATCGAGCTCTTCCTCTACAAACCCCCACCCCTATATTTCCCCAGTCATCGCATGAGACAATCCTGCCACTGCCGTCCTTATTTGTTCATCACCACCCCGACCATGCTTGTTCATCAATGTCGTTGCTGCTTGTTTATCATTATCATCTCCTTCACATCCTTCAAGAAAACAAATCTTAGATTCATTATAAATCCCAAAGGAGATCAATTCAAACCAATGAGGATAAAAAGAACATACACCCAAATTCAAGAAACCAAAGCCTAATTGATTTATAAGTTAATCCATCCAAAGCTTTAATGATCAAAATTTAAACGAAGGTTATTAGTTCCTTGAAAACAAAGCACACGATGGGTTTTCTAAAAACCATTTTCGAAACCCCACTTGCCATAATGACCTGTATCGCCACCATTGCTTTCGAATCTGGCGTAAACCCAGCCTCACTTTTGATGTAAACCCAACTTCACATTTGCATGAAGGTTCCTAGCTTAAGGCTTCAGAATAAGTTGTGAAGACGAAACCACTTTTAGAGGAAGAGAAGTATGATTAGATGTAATTGTAACATGCAAAAAATTCGTGAAATTTTTTAAACTTTTAGACATTACAAAAACATCCATTGTTTACAAGTTGTTTTGAAAAGTGTCAACATACAATGTTGGTGAGTTCATAAGCATGTTTGTAAGAAAACTTTGTAATCATTTGTAAAACTCCAGAAAATCCAATATTTTCTGTAAAAGTAATTTGAGAGTCTTGTTCCATATCATGTATAATTGCATGCATGTTCTTCTGTTTTCTTGTTTGAAATTATATAGAGAGTGTTCTCAGAAAATTCTATATTTTCTGTTATACTAAAAGTCGTGGTCTTAAAACCTTAAAACCATAGTGGTGAAATTAGTTACAAAATAGACGACACATAGTTTTGTACTTTATAAAATGAGTAGAGTGTATATTTCGCGTAAGTTTTAAATTATTATTGTTATACTCTATGTGAGTCGTTACAACCATACTAATGTGACTAGAGCTCCTGTCTTGATGTTCTTCAGGTGTCGGTCGGTATCTAATAAGATATTTGTCACTCTAGACTGGCCTGTCTAGCTGTAGCGAACAACTCAGGTGTAGGGTGTCAACCCCGTACAGATCTATACACAATATCCCGCTCTCCCTCCAGGAGACTCTGGTTATAACTACAAGACTTATGGTGTACACTAAATAGGTACTGTGAAGGAGTGTCTCACAAGAGCCTTAACAACATTTACACAAATTTTAAATCCCATTATTGAATATTGTAAATAACGTTCCTAGAGTATATTTACAATTGCAGTTTTATGACATGCAATATTTTTTGTCGTAATTTACACCATTCACAAGGAGTGTTTAAAAGCCTTTATGACAGACAGTTTGGCAGCATGCAACAATTGTGTCATAAAATTCTTATTAGTTCACCATTTTGGTAGGTTTGTTTATGAACTCTTTTTATAAATATTCAAATTTGGAACTAATATATTTATAACATTTTTACTACAATCATCATAATTGACCTATTTTTACCATAATTGTCATAAATGACTAATTTTTACCAAAATTATCATAAATGACCCATTTTTTCCATATTTGTCATAAATGACCCATTTTTACCAAAATTGTCATAAATGACCCATTTTTGCTAAAATTGTCATAAATGACCTATTTTTGCCAAAGTTATCACAAATAACTCATTTTTTACAAGTGTTGTGGTAAAAGTTTATATATTAAAAAATTTACCATTTTAAGTGTAAATTTCCATATTTTTCCATTTTTCAAGCTTTCATGACAAAAAATCTGTTTTAACATTTTCTTTGACATCATGGTGATTTTATCACATATTAAAGAATTTTTTTTTTAACATAACAACAAAACATGTGAAGCTACACAAGATAACTTTGTTTTTAACAACTTGAGACTTGTACAAATCTCGAATTCATGGATTTTTAGCATGAGATCACAACATTTCAACACACATAAACATATAAAACATACACATGCAAGCAAATATTCAAGGATTT